CGGTAGCGGCAAGCTCAATGTAGCTAAAACACGTGTGCGACGTTTTCCAGCGCTGCTGTGCGCAAGTGCACAGTTAAGAAGATATCACGTCATTTACTCTGGTTAATGGAAAACCTTTTTCTACAGCAGCCTCCACAGATCTTGAAAAACAGGAATCAGAGAGACTGTGAATAGCCTTGACTCACGCCGCGCAAGCTGTAATGTGAAGCTCCAGGTTTGTTCTTGAAGATTTTACAGTTTTTCTAATATAAAAAATGAAAGAAGCATACGGCTTCCTGTAACGCCGATTTAGAGCGCAGCTCTTGAGAAGGAGGAGCGGAAGGTACTGAGGGGAGGGTATGTTCCTGCTCCTCCCCTCCTCCTTCTTTCAAGCGCGAAACGCGCGTCGTCAAGGTGGCGTTCGGCACGTGATTTCCACCGAAACGCCACGGTGACGTTTCGGCGCGGTGCATTATGGGACGTTTCCTATAATGCACCGCGCGGTTTTCGGCTTGAGCGGCGTCGACGCCGCTCAAGCCGGAAACGGGCGCCAGACAGCTGCGCTCTAAACGCAACTTCGAGGCGTTGTTATTCATCAGAAAGATCACTCGCGAAAACGTCATACGCATTTCTAAAAAAAAAGAAAAAAAAAACGGCAAGGTTGCGAATTAACATACCCACTCCGTGCCTCGACGTAGCGCGTCGTCTGCTGCCATCCCACCAGTTGCGTCACAGGAGGGCGCCCGCGAGGTGGCGCCACCAAAACATCTCGTCGCCAAAAGTCGAAGTAATGAGGGCACTGAATATCCATCGATTATAGCGATTCCCCGTCCTTCGCTGAAAGCGGTGACCCGGTGATAGCGGGTATTTCGCCTTTAATGTGATTTTGGATTTCGATTCTGTCGGCGCGTTTGCGGTATTATTTCGTGAATGAGTGAGCGTAAACGTTGGATTGCGTATTTCGATCGGGTTGAAAGGCGTCTGATCGAATTTGATTGCGCACAAAAACTGCGTCCGCGTAATTAAAGATGGCGCGTAACGCCCGAAGTGTGGTGGGCGACTACATGTTCGGCTTAGTACTGCGTTCTAAACTCATAATTTATAAGTCTACGCTCAGGCACCACACCTATATGCAGACTTTTTTTAAATATTTTTTTATTACTTTATGGTAACGAAAAAAGGGTTACCTCTGTTTACTTTTTTCCGGTTTTTAGATGATGATTTTGGGAGATGGGTTCAGGCCTGTGAAAAAATGTAAATTAACACGGTAGGCGCTCAATCATTCCCACAATTGTTATTTTTAGTTAGCTCAATTGATACCGAATTTAGAAGTGACCAAACGACAAGGCTAAATATTGAAGGTTGCGTAAGAAACAAAACAAAACAAACTTGACAGAAGATTATTTATAGTTAATATTTTCTCAATCTTCTCTGTTCTCAATAAAAACAATCTAATTAGCTATGAAATCTACCTTACAAATGATTTCGAATGATTTAGCGCTATCCCCAAACTAACATACTTTTCTATACAGTTTAATATTTTCAACTTGTTTTAAGGCGAGATAACAGATCACTGCTGATCATTGGACTCGGTTTTCCGAGCTCAAACTGTTCAAGTTATCAATGAATAAAAGAACTCCGACAAATCTGAACCGAAATTCCAGCGAACACGTTACGCAATGCGTTCCCTTTTTCGGAAAGCCCCAACAAACAACGCGTCGTCTAACACGGTTAAAATTCATCGCGGAATGGACACTTGTTTAAAACCCCATCAAGCAACATTGGCTGTGGACATTTAGACTTATAGGTGGCGCAAGCTACCGCCCGTTACAAAGGGTATAGCCATTAACATCCATCCATCCATCCACTCGTGAACGAAGCGTGCGATTGGATCCGAGTACTCGCCGAACTCTGACGCGACTGTCGCCTCCAATAGATGCTCAGAGTGCGTACCCAAACAATGGCGGACTAGGACAATAGGCGCAGCGGCGAGTTAACTGGAAAGCACGCACTTTTGAAACGGGTCTTTGAGGGGCAAGCAGACTAAATATGCTCAAAAAGTCGACCATTTCGCCTCGGTCTCCATGACCATAAAACGTTCCCGTTCCACTCATCGCTTCGGCGAGCTGCCATCTTTGTTAACTGGGCTGTGAAACGCGCGTATTAAGCATGCGCGTCGCATCTTTTTTGCGAAATACCGTACACCGATCATACGCCCGCAACACAGTGACTCTACATTTTTTGCCCGGGTGACGAGAGGTGGAAAAGTGTACAGAAGTCAGCGGTCGTAGATGAAAAAAAAAAAAAAAAAAGCTTAAAAACGCTAAGCTAGCTTAAAAAAATGTCAAACACCACAGAGCACACATTCAAACAAGAAATCTGCTGTTCACTTGAAAGTGCGCTTTGTGCTGTTCGTCATTTTTTAACTTAATTGTCCGTCGTTGTTTTTTTTTTTTTGTTGTTGTTGTTTTTTTAGCGTTTTAATTTCGCACTTTGCATTACGCCCTTTCCCGAGTACATACTTTTTTTACGGGTCAACGGTTACAAGGTACACGCACACACGCACGCACGTCACTTTGCAAAACGTCTTACCTAATGAACCTTGCTGTTTGTGCCCGGACCTTAACGATTGTTCCATGGCAGCATACACGAGACGCGGCGCGCTTTCTACTGTCTGCGACGCTTTTGATCTCTACTTGTCATCACTGCTTCGTCCCGAGTGCATCTGCGCTTGCTGTTTTGTGTGTGTGCGTGTGTGTATGTATGTATGTGTATTTTGTTACCGAAAACAAAAACAAAAAGGGGGGGGGGGGGGGAGAAAACGTCGGTTGATCGGTGTATAATGCGTGTTCGCGGTGTGGCAACACAAACCGGCATCATGCCGTCTGTGCAACTCTCTGCACCGCCAAGAAGCAGCACCAGGCAGAGTTCGTGCACGACGGCATTTTCTTAAAGGGCCACACAATGCGGCAGAAGCTGTCGTGCCCGGGCTCAATTTCGCCGCCAGCGTGAGGAGGTTTTAATGGTGTCTCCTTTCCTATATATATATGTATATTTTTTACTATGCTTGCCGGTTGGCAGTTCGGTCGGTGGCTGTGAGAAAACTAACGGACTGCACCGTGCGTAATACTCTTCTGGAGCATTATCGTAAAGTTTGCGTGGTCTGTTCATATCCCCCCCCCCCCCCCCCCCCCCCACCAAACAAAAAAAAAAAAAAAAAGAAAAGAAAAACCACTTTTTTTCTTTTGAGGGGGGGGGGGGGGGGGGGATGATGGTAACGACGTTAGCTGGACCGTAAATTTTGAATTTGACGACGACTTGGGTGGGTTTTACGAGAGAACCGACGCCAGCGGGAGCGACCAGGCAACACCGTCTCGTTTCCTTAATTTCTTCGTGCACGCTAATGACGACTCGATGGCTTAAGAGCGAGACGGCACGCGTTGCATTTCAAGCATCATTGGAAATCAACCAGACTGGCTCCTGTGGAACTCTTAGAGTTAAAATGTTGGCAGTGCCTTGGATTCGTGGATTGCGGTAGTACATCTTATTGCGATTGGTTACAAAACTTCAGGGTGTATTTATAGACTGCTTCTGTTTTTGCTCTACAGTGGTGCAGCTATTTCCGCAACTATAAACGTTGACAGAACAGCTCTAGCCCCTGAGGGTCCCGCACTCACTCTTGAACTATACACTCGAAAAATGTAATCCATTACAAGGACAATTACTCGTGGTTAAAAAAGTATTGAATTAAATTACTTGAGTACTTGAAAAGAAAAGGAATTGACTGTTATTTGAGAAAGTAACCGTTACTTGTCACATTAGTTCAGACTTTCAAAACTACATGCTTGTGAAGTATGTGAAGAATGGTGTCAAGTGAGGCGGTTAACCACAAAAGATGTCGGAACAGCGATGCAATTACACCGAAGCCGGGCCCCTCCAGATCGCGCTCGGGTTAATGATTAAACATTCCGGTTTAACTCTGCCAAACCGGAATGTTCCTTGTTTCGTTGGATGATTTCCCATTTTCGCTCTGTTAAAATACTGGAAAGTTTTCAATTTGTATTTGTTAATTAACCTGGAACGTTTCCAGTTTTCCTCTGTTATACAGGAATGTTTCTACAGTTTAACTGAACTATTTTCATCTAGCTTGAATCATATTCGTTATCCTCTAACACACATATATGTCAAAGAGTAACTGAAATGGTTCAAGTTTAAGTTGAATGTTTGCTATTATACTGGAATGTATCCAGTTTTACCCTCGTTCGTTGGAATGTGTTCAATTTTACTGTATTTTATTAGATTGTGTCCAGTTTTACTCTACTATACTTGAATTTGTCCAGTTATACTCTGTTATGCTGTATTGCTTCCAATCTATCTTAAATATTTTCATTCTGGCTGGGTCGGTTTCAGTATAGCTGAAATGCCTTCAGTTTAACTAGAATGTTTCCCGTTTTACTCTGTTAATCAGCATAAACATGGCGTTACCTCAGGAGGCTGGTAAACACAGATGGCTTTCGTCTTAGAATTCTTCTTTTGAGCAAAAGCTCTGAGCACCCACTTATACCCTAGAGGTGACTTTGCCGCCCATCTGCCTGTTACACCGAGACCGCGTAATCAGGTCGCTGAAACTCTCACATTAGCTCCTGGGGACATTACCCTGAGGCACTTTTTTTTTCCCCTGACATATGCAGCTATGCTGCGGCAAGGACTCTGGAAATTAGGATTACATTCCTATAGCCTCTTATGCACCTTGCGCTAATTTTAATTTTTCAGTGGCCATGACTAAGTCATTTGACTAAAAATAAAGAGCACAATGAAGATGACATTTTGTTTTTGCTTTTTGTAGGCGTTGTCTGCTGGTTATGGTACACAACATGACACTTTGTTTTTCCTTTTTTGTAGCAGTCGTTCGATGGTGATAGTCTACGCCCGTGGCCACAGCCTTCTATTCCAAGCACCGAGAAGGGTGAAGAGGAAGCTCAGATAACCACATAAACACGAGATAAACCGAAAACACGCACCTTGAAGGGGATTTCACAGATATGGCATCCTTTTTGTTTCGCTCGTCTTCGTCTCCCGTGCCGTCCTTCGTTACCTCCGACGAACCGTCAGGGCACCTCACGCGCACCACGGATCGACACCTCGAGGAGGGGGGAGAGGGCGAGCCCCACGTGCTAACACTAAGCCACGACAACAAAACACGCAACGAACAACACTTTCCCCTCGACGGCTCGTGCTGCGGGCCGACCGACCGGCCGACGACGACGTAGACCGAATCACCGGCAGGCGCGGCGGCGGTGGCTGCAGTAGCGGCGCCGGCAAAGGCGACGGGATGGCCACAAGCACCGACGACGTCGAAGAACGACGGCAAGGGGATGCTGCTGCGGCGGCGGTGGCCACTCTCCGGCCTCAGACGACGGCGTCGCTGTGGAAGCTTTTTTTCTCGACGATTTTCGGAGGTCCGCGAGCCGCCGCTCAAACCGGCTGGGCTGCTGCTGCTACTAGCGAAGGGGGGCGAGGAGGTGGCGCACCCGAAATGGGGAGAGGGAGAAACGCGAGAGGGAAGGAACCACCCGCCCGCCCTCCGCCGCATTCGGCCCGCTCGACATCACCCAGTGCGAGATGCGTTTCCTCGCCGCTGCTGATGCGGGGAGCGGGTTCGCTTTCCGCCCGGGAGATGGCGCCACGGAGTAGGGTATGATTGGGGAGGACCTACCGGGCCGGTGTGCTTTATTTCTTCTTTCATTCAAAGCGTTCAGATGAGTTTTGATTATTCACTCTGTTCTATGATATTTTGCTGCCCTTTCTCCAATACAAACTAGCAGAATACCATTACTAGCAAGGTTGAATTCTCTGTTTTTTTGCTTGTTTTCTCTCTCTCTCTATCTATCTATCTATCTATCTATCTATCTATCTATCTATCTCTTTTCTCGTTCTCTCTCTCTCTTGCCGCAACAAGGTTAGAGTGTTGTACTGAGACTTAACATATGTTTAATACAGAGGTTTCTTTTTATGCTTAAAGGGAAGCTGAACCGGTTTTGAATTTGACTAAAAACTATTTATTTTTAACTTGGACTTTAAGCATCGCAAATAGCACAAAAAGTAGGCTATTACATGCCCGTATTACCTCAAAAGACGCCTTTGAAGTTGCGTTCAATCCACGCACCTCCGCGGCAGCTGGAGAGGGGCGTAAAAGGAGAAGAGAAGACATGATGTCACAAGACGTCCCTTGCGCGCTTTCTCGCTGAGCCAGCGTCGTGCGTCGTCGATACTTGCTGCGGCTGTTTGTACCTGAGCTAGTTGGTGATTCGTGCTTCTGAAAGATACCGGATGAACGTATGAAGATACAAGAAGAGAAAGAAAGAAAAGACGACGAACACACTGCTAAACTAGCAACCCCTTTACTAAAAATCGTCTTCTTTCACCATCCTTAGTTTCATATACCGAAACTAATAAGTGCGGAAGAAAAAGAGGCTTATCTTCAGTAGATGGTTCCCACTCAAGCAGTTCTGAGCATCTTTCTACAGAACAGCCGGGCGCCTCAGCGAATCCGAAAAGCTTGTGCGAAACGGAGACGAAACGAGGTAACGATTGCCCGTTTTTCTCCCTTGTGTCCGTGTTTTTGCGACTTGTAACATGAATACCACTTGATCGCTCTGAGAAAGGTGCAATCAGAACCACACCTTGCCACTTTATGGCGTCACTGCTCGACCAACCAATGACGTTCGACAGCAACAAGCGGCTGCAGTTTTATTTTTTATGTTTAGTGTTGTTTTAAGGACCAATGATGGTGATATTTAGATTCTGCAGGAAAACCTATGCCAGAAAGAAGCATTAACTCATATTTTTCTAAACCTTTTAAAGTTCTCTTTAATAAATTTGTTTAGAAAAAGCCGTGAAAAAATACACTAACGTTGTTTGAGCATGTTAGTTATACATCCAGGGAAACATAGCTTAGGGGACCAATGGTAAGAATCAGTCGGTTAATTAACTAAGATATGTAAATGACGTTTTAATGATTGAAAGCAAACATTGGGTTCTTATTAGAAACTTGCTGAGCGTCATCGAAAACCACTAAATCAGTCAATATGACAAAGACTTTGAGCACGTGGAAGGCACGGTGGAGCGCTAAGGTTTGCCACTCGGGCAGCAGGAGCATACATGAGTAAATTACTTTCAAAATGTAATTTAGATACAATTACAATTACTTTGCTCTAAAAGTTGTTTAATTACAATTACTACTACACAAAAATAATTAATTACCATTACAAATTACTTTTAAAAGGTAATGCAATTACTTTACAGTTACTTATTGCTGAGAGCGACCCGACTTGGGCCATATAACTTTAAACGAGTTGTATGGAATTCAACGTATTTGTTCATTCCTTGCACCAATGTTTGAGGAGGGTTAAGCAGCGCTGCATAAATGTTACGTATTGTACTTTCCTTTGATGAATTTCGTTCAATTCATGGTGGAACTTGACAGTTTAAGGCAATGAAGTACTACGTTCTTATATATTTTATAAATAATAATAAATTAGTTCATATGCTAGAAGGCGCCAGATCGCTAAAGACAAAAAATGGGTTGACAGAGTTTTGTTAGCCCGGTAAAAAGAAATGTGAAAATTAGTCATATAAATATGAATACTTTACAAGTGCTAATATAAAACTAAAATCCACACGCGCTAATATGACCGCATTCACATACACATATCATGGTGTTGTCAATTATTTACATTGAGTTGAAATTATAATGGCTCTGAAATACAGGGTGTCACAAAAGAAAATTTGCACAGACTTTTTTACCGCAAAAATAAGCTAGGCATCGCCGAAGACTCATTATCCGCCCAAACGTAGCGCTAGATATCACAACCAGATGCCAAAGTTTCAGCCCGATCCGATAACTTAATCAAAAGTTATAGGTGATTTTCTGAAAATTTCAATGGGAAAATGGGGGCCGACGGAGTTTTCAAACACATGTGGTCTCTATGGCACCAGAAACCGAAAACGGGCAAAAAAGGGTTCCATTATCCCATTGAAATTTTCAGAAAATCACTTATAACTTTTGATTAAGTTATCGGATTGGGCTGAAACTTTGGCGTCTGGTTGTGATCTCTAACTTTACCTTTGGGCGGAGAATGAGCGTTCGGCGATGCCTAGTTTATTTTTCCGGTAAAAAAGATCGTGCAAATCTTCTTTTGTGACACCCTGTGTATAAGAAACGAATGAGGGGGCTCCCGAATCATTGTTAAGAATATTCACAGGTACGAGGTCAGTCTCCAAAATGCTTATGCAAAAAATATGCGAAGCAAAACCAACACGAAATAAACTTCAAAACAATACAAAGATAGAAATATCGACAGTATTGGAAGAGGGACGTAAAAAACTGGCTAAAGAAAAGAAAAAAACTTTATAGACAATCAAAATTTTCTCGCACAACTGAAAGCTGAAGCTAATTTTTTTCCTCAATATTTCGACATGTTTACGCTATTGTTTTCTGCACGCACAGCAGACGGCGCGACACGGCGCCGTTGAGGTAGGCTCCAAAGATGATTGTCTCTTAGCCCAGAGTGTAAGCAACAAAACAACAAAAAATGCGACACTATTTATGTCCTGCGTGTGCGTGTCTTTGTGCGAGTTTTTCACCGAGAGCTAGGCCGCTTGTGCGGGCGCTGAGGCTTTCAGAGGGGTTCCGTCGGCGCCTCAAAGTTTTGCAAAAAAGTAATTGTAATTGTGCCTGAAATTTTCCAATTACTGACGCTTGAAAGTAATTATATTACAATTACAATTTCTTTTGGCCGAAAGTAAATATTACATTCACAAATTACCAGGAAAAGTAATTAAATTACAGTAATTCAATTACAGTAATTGAATTACTACCCAAGTATGAGCAGGAGCAAGGCTGCCGGTGCGATAATTCGCCCGCTTCTTATCATCCGCGCTTTCTCACCCCAGCCTTGTGACAGATGCACAAGTGGTAATTTTAGCGCACTGCTACGTTTCTTACACGCTTTTCGATGACACTCAGCAAGTTTCTAATTGGAACCATTTGTCTACTTTCACTAATTCAATAGTTAATTAACGAATTTTAGTTACTTTTTTATTTATTGTGACGATTAGCTCCCTATATTATATACCACATGGTCTTATAACTCACCTGCATAAACCGCATTAGCGCAGTTTTTGCGGCTTTTTAAAAGCAATTCTGTTAAGATTAAGAAAAAACACCCTTGTATATTTCTTCGTATAGGGTCCAGTAAGGCTTAAGACGACTCAGTCAATTAGTATGGAAGATTTCACATTGGGGAAGCTAATCTGCACTGAAATACGGCAATTATTGTCTCTGCCGTGCAGTCTAAAATTCGGCCACTGCAGGAAATTTGATCGCGGTGCAAATTGGTCAGCTGGTACAATTTAGCTAAACAGAGTAATAGAACAAACGAGCAATTTCTCCAGTGATTACAAGGATGCACATCACTAGAACACTGTCCAGAAACCAACAGCCCTGTTGATTGTGCTCTCTGTGTGAATAAATCTGATGCCTCAACACCTTTCTATTTATACAAGTGCCGCGGAAATGTTTTGTTTTTGACAATCTGCTGCGGTCATTTGTTCGTGTACGGCCTGAGATTTACATAAAAGATCAAGGAATGCTGGAACCATGCTAAACACATCATAAAGAAAAAAAAACTTAAAACAACTGCGTTTCACAATAACTATGTGAACTGTGGACGATACCCCCCCCCCCTTCCCCTCCCCCCCCCCCCCCCCCCCCCCAATTAACCAATAAGAACGAGGTACGTGGCACCATGTTAGGGAGCCTTCGTGTCACTGCGCCGAATGCGAGGTCCAGAGGAATCGGCTGTCTACTGGCCAAACGTCGTCTGCTGCGAAACCAGCCAACCTCGGATGAACGTCCACCGCCGCAACATTGCCGTCCGCTAGGTTCGCGAGCTCTTCGGGAACAGTTCGTGAGACAACCATATGATCAATTTATCTGGGAATACGTGGCGGGTGCTAACGCCAGAGGGGTGTTTTGAGTAAAAGCGGTCGATTTCACGGCTGTGATCGTTCGAACATCGTTCAAACGCCACGTTGTTCTCAGAGAAGTGTTGATACGTCACAAGTATATATCTCTGATTCCTTAGTCTTTGTTCCGAGTGTGTGGTGTTGCGGCCAGATGAACGTAACACTACACGACTCGGAAGAAGCAGTGGAACATAACAAGACCATAACTATTTTTCGTCGCGGACGGCGCAGCCTCCACGGTTCGCCAGGTTATCGTGAAACGCAGTATAGGAATAGCATTTATAAGTTTACCCAGGGACATGTCTAAAAGATAATCTCATGTAGACCCCACGTAGACTCATAAATAAAAAAAAAAAAAGAAACATCGAGTCTTCTTTAACAAGTTCCAAAGTTGAAAAAAAAAAAAGTCAAATTTGGAGGTTTTACGTGCCAAACCAACGACGGGCATCTGGCACGCCCCAGCGGAGGGTTGAGGATTAATT